TTTTTTAAATGTGCATATTAACCCAGGGTATTGTGTTTGCAGCAGGCAATCAAATCCAATTCCTGGATAATGCACACAATTCTAAGAAAAGATGATGATGATGATGATGATGATGATGATGATAATAAGAATAATAATACTGATCATGCAGTTACTTCAGTACAAAACACGCTGTCCCTTTATGGTCCATCCAGTGTGGAAAAAAATTAACTGCAGACTTCATACACCAGAATATTTTAAGAAGAAATGTTTGATAGCATATAAAAGAGGCACGAAAACAATAGAACTAACCATATATACCAAAATGATATCCCAATATATATTCAAGTACATATGCCTTCATTGGTCAGATATCGGCAGATATCTCCTAAAATAATATAAACATTCAGACTTCCTTCTAGAGCCTCAAGGTCTTAGAGACGTGAGTGTGCGTATCCTGCCTGTCTGCTCATGTGTTCTCTGCACTAGCAGCAGACCCTGAGAGAGGCATGCTGGTGTTTCACAATCTCGCGTTTCAGCGAGGGCGTCAGGGCCTTGGCCCAGGCAGGCAAGGGCCAGAGTGTTCCTCCGTCCGAGCCCTGCGCTGCCTGCCACGCCCTTCTTGTTTCTGTTGCCTATGCTTATGGAACTAGGCAAAAAGGCACAGGGCAATAGCCGGAGTGGAGGCAATGAGACACAGAGTACTGGAGACAACAGAAGCCATTAGATACAGAGCACTGAGGAAAGTGGAGGCAGCGAGACACACAAAACCAGGGAGAACAGAGGCAGTGAGACACATAGAACCAGAGATAGTAAAGGCAATGAGACACACAGAACCTGGGGAAAAGAAGCAGAGAGACACACAGAATCAGGAAGCATAGAGGCAGAGAGGCACACACAACCAGGGTTTAGTGTAAGATATTTTCCTGGGCACCTGCAGCCTGAACATGGGCGGTCATTTTGCCTGTCCCATGAGGACACAAAAGAGGGATGGAAAAAGACAATACTAAAGAATCACTAAAGAAAACCTGTTTCTCCTTTATAGGAAGATATTTTTAGAGCCTAGTTTCCAGCATGCATTTAGGGGGATGTGGGGGGTGCAGAGAGCACTAACGATGCCACCGGTGCAGAGTGGGTAAAGGCCCAAACACCAGGGGCAATGTGCTCACAGCCGGCCCACAACAAAAGGCCCCTCTATCTCCTGATAAGGAGGCTGCGCAACAGAGATTCACATGGCACAGCTAGGGACTCACGGCCGGATCAGTAAATTTGCCGGGAACCAAAGAACATACGGTATACTGACAAACAAGCATACATGAAACAACAGAAGATACAGAATACTGACACATAAATATCCTCCTGAGACCCCACCCATTCATTTATGTCCATTGCAGTGGACATTTTGTTTTTGCATATATCTTTTCACTGATGTAAAAAAACATATTTATTCCTGTTGTACACTAAAGAGGACATGCTGTGAAATTAAAAATAAAAATAAATTTGAAAAAAAATCTAAATTGTAAGATGTCTTATTTCCTCCAAAGACAAATAACCTAAAATTGAAGGACACTTTTTTCCTTGGGTCTCAGGAGGATATACTGAAAAGTACAGAAGATAAAGTAAACCGGCACAAACATACAGGAATCTAAAGGATATATGGTATATTGACACATAGAGGAACCTACAGAAGATACGGTATACTAACATAACTATACAGGGAACTACAGGATATACGGTATGCTGACATACAGGAAACTGCAGAGGATACAGTACACTGACACAAGCATGCAGGGAACTACAGGACATGCAGTATACTAGCATATAATGGCAACTGATGTTGACAATGCGACTGGATCATGGTTTTGAACCTTAGTGTAGTCTTTGACATGGTTGACCATTCTGCTATTACAGAGACCTGATTTTGATCTTGGATTGTGAGGAAAGGTGTTGAAGTGGCTTAAATCCTATTTGACTAATCGATATCAATATGCTCATGTGTCCAATAACTGCACTCTGTCATCAAAATCACTGGTCAAATCTGGAGTCCTACAAGGATCAGTTATTGGTCCAATATTGTTCTCTCTTCATGCTCCCATTAAGCAAACATAATGTAAACATGAGCAAACAAAATGTAAATTATCACTCCTATGCCGACGACACCCAAATATACATTTCAGCTAGGACTAATGACACCTTATCTATTGTCACTTTAGTCAATTGCTTTAATGAAGTTAAGAATTGGATGTGTGAAACTTTTCGTCACTCAATGAGGAGAAAACCAAGGTTCTGCTATTGACAAAATCCGTGGATAGGTCGGCCAAACTCTCCACATTCTGCTCTGAGGGGCTGAACTTAGGTACCACTTTAAATACGGGCCTCTGGTTCAAATTGCATGTGGACCCAGTATCGAAGGTGTGCTTTCAATAGCCAGGTAACATTGCCAAACTATGTTTTCTCATTATTCAAGACACTGACAAACTAATATATGCTTTTGTATACAGTTGGTTAGACTACAGTCATGCATCATTTAATGACAGGGATACATTCTGAGGAATGCATTGTTAGGTGATTTTGTCAATGGGCAAACATCACAGAGTGTACTTGCACAAACCTAGATTGTATAGTCCACTACACACCTAGGCTACAGTAACCATTTTTTTGTAAGTAGAAAGCTTACACTTTAAAATAACAAAAAGTAGTAAATACATGAATAAATACATAAACCAGTTAAACCAGTAACATAGTTATTATAATTATGAATCATTATGTACTGAATATAATTGTATGTGCTATACTTTTATGTGACTGGCAGAGCAGTAGGTTTTCTTTACACTGGCATCGCCACAAACACGCGAGTTGTGCTACAATGTTACGACAGCTGCAATATCACTAGATGGCAGGAATTTATCAGTTCTATTACAGTATAATCTTATGGGGCCACCGTCACATATTTCGATCCATCATTGACTAAAGCTTTGTTATGTGGCAAATGACTGAACTATAATGTCCCATTATCTGGGAGTACACATCACACATTACACATCACACATTACACATCACACATTAAGCACCTTACAGCACATTCAAAATGTAGCAACTGGAATTGTCACCAGGAGCAGGAAGTTTGAACACATAACCCCTGCTCCTTACTTCCTTACACTGGCTTCCTGTAAAGTTCAAGAATGACTTCATATATACATATATACTTCATATAAGTCACTTAAAGCTCTAGCACCTGCCTACCTCAGGGAACTAATTCAAGTTTACAAGCTGCATCATCCACTCTCATCACAGACTGCAGGATTCCTTTCCACATATAAAGTAACAGTTATCAATAAAGCCTTCTGCTACAGAGCCCCTATATTGTGGAATGGTTTGCCAGCTCATGATCAGAAAGCTGAATTGGTCTCAGTCTTTAAATCTCAACTAAAGTCCTATTACTTCAGTTTAGCCAACCCTCAACTTAACACATAACATATTGTAACTATGGCTGCTGATGCTGCGGTACATGCCATTTTCGTCAAGAGCACTTGTCCATTAATGTGTCTGTGCATGTTCTGACCACCCATGTTCTCTGTCTTTCTTCCCACATGTCTGGATGGTGCCCAAGTTTTTGGTTCCTCTCCTCTGATGTCATATGATATACTGACATATAAATGCTTCAAAAAATACAGGACATTTGGTACACTGACACATGAATGTAATGATAACCCAACATTGATTCACGCACACGTGTCCAAATTGGTTAGCAAAATATTCCCAAAGTAACAGTATTTTCATGTCGGCAGTATCTGAAAGTCACATGATGAATTTGTTTTTCCTACTTTTTGACTTCATAGCCAATAAACCTAATTTTTCATTTTGCAGTGAAAAGGTGCTTCAGAAAATAAACATGTTTTAAATGTTTTTTTTTAGATATTGTCATTTTAAAATCTATATAAATGTAAATGTGATTAAAGAAGAATAGCAACAGGATAAAATTAAATTTTAGATGCTGCTCACTGGTGAGTTGTGCTATTTTTAGAACAGGTCGACGGGCGACTCATGGGGTCCTTGGGGGCATCCTGGTGCCTGCGGGCACCATGTTGGTGACCCCTGGACTAAATGGTAGGAGCAAAGGAGCAGAATAAGAGAAGGGCTGGAGAAAGACAATGAGGGGCGGGGTATACTGGGGTGGAGTGTGCCAAGGGAGGGTGTAGAGGGGGGGTGTGCTAGGGGAGGGGCAGGGCATGTCAAGGGAGGGGACAGAAGGGGACAGAGTGGGGGGGTGCAGGGGTTGGTGTTTGCCAGGGGGTGGAGAAAGAGTGGGGATGGGGGGGGGGCATGCTGGGGCGGAGTGTGCCATGGGAGGGGGTGGAGGGAGAGAGCAGCAGAGTGAAAGGACAGGTTTAATGCATAATGCCTGACTTGACAATCATAGGAGATGAAGAGGGGTGAGAAGAGAGGATAAGAAAGCTGTGGTGGCTCATCACGTATTTTCAGCCTGTCTGAGCTGACCTCTGACCTGGTGCGACTGGGAAACGTGCAAATTTGCTGACTTGGACAGAGTAAACAATGAGAGTTATTGAACTGAGCCTGATTTTAGCAATGGAGCTGTGATTATAAGACCTGGGAGTGTCTGGGGATCCTTCCTTAAGTGAGGCTGGCAGGAGGCTACAGATCTACTTTCTGACTGCTTATTATTCAGGTCAGGTTCACAAGGTGCAGTTACACTGTATCAGTGAAACCTGTAAGTTAACATTGGACTAACAATCCGCCTCAAAGTTATAGAAGCCCAGAGCAGGCAGGTCGAAGTCACCCCATTCCAGGGCAACCATGATGAGGCAGACTCATGAGCCTGGGCTTTGGGGGGGAGCATTTACTGCATAAATTTGCCTTTGATATACCATGCTGTGTCTGTCAGCGACCAGTCCGAGACATTTACACAACAGCAGCATACTACTTTGGTTATGAGAAATGGAGGGCTCCAGGCTGTCGGTGGGAGCGCCAGTGTTCTGCGTGACGATGTTTCTGACTTACAGGCTCCTCTCTTGCTCCAGTGACATCAGCTGGGCCCAGTACCCCCAGGCCCGAGGTGCCCAGTCCACTTGAACATCATGGTGGTCATCCCTTGCAGAGCTGGTAATTCTGAACCTGTCTCTATTTCATGCTCCTTTGCTTCCCTGAGGTAGACTAACCACAAAACAGAAAATGCAGAGTGGCTGCTTATGGTCACATGGGAGTGAGGGCCAGGCTTTCCTTGCTGGAGATTAGGCAGAATTACCGTGATCTACATGAAGTATGCGATGAAGCTCTGAAGGACTGAGGCCTCCTTCACAAGGGGTGAAGATATTTTTCGGCACATAATGTTTCCATTGTAGTTGATTTACAAAAAAAGTAGACAATAAAAGTAGATTACTGTATTAAATACTATATAAATAATATTAGCCTAGACAGCTATATGTTGTATAATCAGTGGTATGAACGGCAGCTCTTTTAAATGAGTGAAAAATAAAGAGAGCTGAAGTCTGAATTATTGCAAAATGTGTTGTTCAGTTGTTTTATTCACACAGAATCCAAAAGGCTTTTTACAAGGAAGTCACAACCTGATTAATTTATTTTTCCCATTCAATTGGCGATCAGCTCTCTGTAATATGGTTTGGAGAGTCACTGCTGCCAGTGTGGTGTTGTGATGGACACTGTGGCAGACGAGAGGCCCAAGGAGCGGGCAGGGGGACCACCGCTTCATTTTTGAGGTCAGAGCCCTCGCTAGGCAATGGCAGCTTCTAGAACCTACTGGTGAGACGGCCTCAGGGGGAAGCATACTGCCAGAGCAAGGGGAACAGGAAGAGAGAGTGATGACTTCCTCTATGGCGGCCAATAAGAGCAGGCCTCAGCAGTGCTGTCATGTTATTTGATTCAGAGAGCCTAAAAGAACAGAAATATGTAAACAGCAAGTGCAGTAAGTTTATTATGTAAGACCGTAATGTTTTGTGGTTATGGTCATGGTTTTAACATTCTACTTTTAATCTATTCAACCATTTTCTAACAGTTAATCCTGATCAGTGTCATAGAGCTGAGCAGTAATGCACAAAAATAGTATCCTTCTTTGGGCTATTAAGGTACATGTATCTGTTGTGTACCATCTAGTACATAATTTTTAGTTTGGCATGCACAATGAAACAAATGAATACATTTATCGACATGAGTGGAACCTAAATTCACAAGTAGATCTTCAAAAATGAAAACATGTTAATTGTGGCTGTGAGTTTGTTACGGCTAGTGCTGGTTTCAGTCACTCGTAATCGACAGTTTGGGAAGATACTGGTTTCCAAATTACATTAATTACACCAGGAATGGAGACCAAGACTGTCTGTCAGTTCTGTTATACCGAACTCGGGAAATATTGCTGGAAACAGATCCAACATGCTAATTCATTTGAGACAACAACATCTGAGTGTTTGTACAACCAGAGCAAGGCAGAAACAGCCTCTGCAAGTTAGACTCCCCATGGCATTTAAGGCGCTTTTTCCAGGAAACTCCGACCAGGCTAAAAAAACAATTATGGCTACAGCGGTGTTTATTGTTACAGATATGCATCCACAATTGGCAGTAGAGAATATGGGGTTTAGATGGGGTTTAGCTCATTATGATTGTTATAATGTTATATTTTTGATTTTTAAATTTTACAATTTAATGACAGGGATACGTTCTGAGAAATGCTTTTTTACAAAGTGTTACTCAGACACTTTGACAGATGCATTGCCTTTGGTTTAGAACCGTTCCTAAACTGTCTGCAGTCTTAATAATAATTAATTTCAAACCAAATTCTGTTTTCCCCGCTGTACCAAAATTGCACCAGACCTAGGACCCAAAACCAAGATTTGTACCAAACCATGAAATTTGCGCATCATTACACCCCTGATCCTTCTATCTCTCTTCATAACTGCTCACCCAAAACAGGCTCTTACAGGGACAGGACACCCAGGATGCAATGGCAGTTAATTGCAGGACACACACACATTTAGTGACAAAGATTCACCCCTGTGTGTTTCAGCCTGGGAGGAGACCTGTAAAACCATAGCTGGGATGGCAGAGCTATGGGCTGGGTGGGCTGGGGGGGAATGGGGGGGGTTGGCTCAAAGAAACGGACCTCGAAGTGTTTCAGCTGCCTTCCCATCCCCCCTTTTTTTTCCTCACACAGAAGAGAATGGAAAATGCTGGAGTGGTCCAACAAGCCGAGAGCACTTTCCCCTCTGTAATGTGCTTCCTCGTCCAGCAGCTCTGCATCATGGAAAATGGCTCTTTGGCTTAGAACTTTGCAGAGGTGCCCGTGCCTGAAACGACATCGTCCCATCCATGTCCAGTGCAGGACGGTCCTTCCAAGTCCCCAGAAACATGTCTGTTTGAGTTCCTAAACTGAAATAGCTCTCGGGATCGGATTTACGCACGGCTCCCGTGTTCCCACCCGGCCACAAAGCTAGGACCGAGCGCCTGCCACTGGCGGCAAGGCCCCAAGAGTAAGATCCGTCAGCCATCTTCCTGGCCTGATGCCCCCAATGCAGAAAGAGCCTTTCTAGACTGGCGCTGTATCAGGGAAAACTCCTGAGCTGTTTCGTCTCTGCCAGGAGCCATTTACTGTCTGACATGGGCAATGGTCTATAGTCGGATAATTATTATGAAATCGGATGTTTTATTATTTTTGTTGTGGATGTTGACAATAGAAAGGGAGCTGGACTTAATGTCAGTGGGGCAGATTTGGATACTACCTCTGAGTGCACGTTTCCCGGCTGGACCATATCCCGGTCACACTGAAAGCCTGAGCTTAATACAGCAGGCCAGCCGAGTGTCACGTTGCAGACTCACTACCTTGAGCCCCGCCGTTTCTCCCTGCTGGGACTCTGCTGTGTGTCTCTACACAAATTAGCGTTTTTCAAGCCTTGCATCCAGTGGTATCGGAAGGAGTTTGACATTGGGGGACCCCCCCCCGTCCCACCTATTTCCGACACCCCTACTGGTATCTCTATGGTACTTGAGTAACTCTTTCGAGTCTAGTGCATGGTACTCATGTGGCTCCCTCTAAACGCTGCTCAAGCACTGTGGCCTGTGGGAGGTGCTATATCAGATCAGTTCCCAGGGTCTCATGGGCCTGACTTCTGCTGCAGGGGAAGCCCGTTCAGCCTGGCTGCCGCTCACACTCTTCGTCGGCTCACGTGCTACAGGCACGTAACATCTGGGTAACATCTGAACCAGGTTGCACTGCCAGGGGCACAGGGAGTGGCGACACCGGCATCAGGAGAATGCATGCCTCGAGCAGGAGCAAGAGGAGCAGACGGGGCTCCTGACTCAGGTCCATGGGCAGAGGGCAACCCCCTTCTTTATTAAAATTTCAGGACATTTATTAAACCCAAGACACAACATGGCAGCAGCACTGCACACCTTCCAGCACCCTGACACCAGACTGTCACGTGATCCCATTATCTAAAAATATATTTACAGTGTGTTTGCTCTGTTTAGTACCATACAATGGATCTCATTATCATTTAACTTACTATAACATTAATTTCTCTCTGTGTGCAACCAGTTTTTTAAATATAAAGCTTTCTGCAAAGTAGCCTGCCTATCTCCATCTACTTTAATGTACTACATGTCCTGAATACATACCCAGGAGAGATATCATTGCTATACCAGTCCATCAAAAGACATAGATCCACACACACTCACCACTGGTAAATCATACCATTCAGCCAGTGTGCCTTTGAACTGCAAGAAGAAACCAGAGCACCAAGAGGAACTGCCCACCAACATCGGGAGAACATGCAAACTCCACACGCAGGAATCAAACCCATAACCCGTGAAGTGTGGAAAGAGAGTGATATTCCAGTGAGCCTATCTGCCAATTTTTTAAATAAATAATAAATGAGTTGAACATTCAGAAAAATCTAAAAGATATTTAGTAATGTGCTTCCCAGAGACAACTTAAAAAAAATTAAAATAAAAAAACAATATGCACTATGTTTGAGAATTTAGGGCAGGGGTAGGCAATCTTATCCACGAAGGGCCGGTGTATATGCAGGTTTTTGGGATAACCTTTAGGTCAGCAGTTTAAGCCCAGGTGTGAAGACTCTTCAGCCACTCAGTCCTCTAATTAGTGACCTAATTAGGGAGTTGCTGTGAAAACCTGCATACACACCGGCCCTTTGCGGATAAGATTGCCCACCCTTGATTTAGGGGTTCTGAGACACTGCAGAGAGATGTTCCCATCATGCCTTGCGATCTCCCTTTTTGCAAAGTTTGGGAAATACTAACAAATTTGCAAGAATCTGTAAAGCACCTCTGAAACCTGACACACCTTTCGTGACTTTGAAGTCTGACCTCCAATTTGTATGAAATGTTTAACTTTGTGCCACCATGGTGCTTTCAGCAGGCACATACTAAGGTTTATTTTCCCTAAAAGGGCAACCCAGACGACCTGCTCTCATTCACGCATAGATTAATTAATCTAAATGAGATGCTCTGTGTTGATAAACGCAACTTTCTCCTGCCGGCCCCATTCCCACCAGCAGTAGGTCCAAGTAGCTACTGGATCAGCAGGTAAACTTCATCCATTTTCATCATCCATCCTCCTATCCAGTACAAGGCTACTGTGAGTCAACCCTGGAAAACAATGGGCTGGAGTCAGGTAAACCACACAGCTTAGGAATGTGGAGAAAACCAATGTACAAGAGGAAAGTCCACACATAAACTCCAGACACAGAAAACAGGGATGGGATTCGAACCCACAATGCTGGAGGTAGCCATAGTGTTATTCACTGAATCTCATCTCTCAGTACTGACACTCCTCACTTAATGACATACCTGTTTAAAGACCACCCGGACTTACGATTAGCTCTCCGACCAATCGATATTGTCTGCTGCATGAGAACTTTGGACATGGACACAGCAGTGCGGCAACTCAGTGTCAAGAAATTATGCAAATTAAAAATTAAAGTTATCAAGTTGGTGTTTTCTTTCTAAATAAAAATGATTACCTGTATTTGCAGTATGCAGTATGCAAACCTCAGTACAGCTGATATCTTCTATTCTGTTTATTACAGTATACAGTACACTACTGCATAAACATTTATAAACAAACTAAAAATTATATAAATGGGGTAAAGGTGCTACTGCATAAACAATTTGAATAAAAAGCTGTTAGGGCCAGCTGTGTTTCCTCCGGGTACTCCGGTTTCCCCCCACAGTCCAAAGGCATGCTGAGGCTAATTGGCGTTGCTAAATTGCCCTTAGGTGTGCATGTGTGAGTGACTGGTGTGTGAGTGTGCCCTGCAATGGGCTGGCCCCCCGTCCAGGGTTGTTCCCTGCCTCGTGCCCGTTGCTTCCGGGATAGGCTCCGGACCCCCCGCGACCCAGTAGGGTAAGCGGGTTGGACAATGGATGGATGGATGGATAGGGCCAGCTGTTTCAAACTGTTAGGGCCGGTGATACTATGCTACCAAGAATGACAGTACAGCTACCAGGAAATGACGTCACAGGAAACCCAACCATGACAGCAAACGCTGAAGCAAATGCAATTATGAATGCAGCTTGTAGGGCTACACAGTCTACCATGCTTTCTAGATGTGCTAGACAACCTCTTTTCAGAGGAAGAGGCAAAACTGGCAGGGGAGATGTTATGGAGAGCAACTAATTAACAGAACATAAGTAGTGCCTGGCCTTTTAAGAGAGCCGACTCAATAAAGTACAGCAAAACAGGAAAGTTAAGCAACCAAAAGACTACGTAATACCAACTTCCCAAGGCAGCAACGTGTCACAGTTGGAGCCAATTGCCTTTCCTTTCATTTCAAATCTGACTCCCTCCAGCATTGAGTCCAGCTGGTTTTAAACCATCTTTAATCAGGTCCCCCAGCTAGACCCAGCTGGGCAACATTATCGTGGACACATGAACAGAAACTCAAGCAGGAATGTGCTCCATTGTCCAGCAACCTTTCTATTGTCAACAGCCACAACAATAATGATAAAATATTCTATTCATTTCAAAATAATACTAATAATAATTATCCCACTAGCCCATTGCCCATGTGTGACTAAGAACAAGGTTCATCCATTCTAGAAGCATCCGGGTTGCTCATGCACATATATAAGCTTCTGTACTAGAGCAGCTGGATATCACACCAAGAACTGTAATGAAGGCACCGTGGCCAGCAGAACAACAATCTCAGCAAAAGGACCAGTCCAGAATTTCATAAGGCCAGGCGATGTCTGAGACATCACCACAGAATCAATATCTGCGTGAACTCTCTCCCATTCTGCCACGGGCCAAAGAAAAACTGTAAAATTTAAATGGATCTGAAGCGTCAGACTTGTATCCCCTCTCCATACACCATCAAGGAAGGACTTTGTCTAAGAGGTCATACCACAAATAGCCACATAAATATGGGAAACAAACCAAGGATGGTTTGGGATTCTGGCTAACACTGCATCAGTAGGACAGACTAAAGGCATAAATGGAAAGGAACTAGATGAATTTTATTTTAGTTTAGCTGTATCTATATAATTGTATTTAAAATTGTGAACAGAAAATGTTTTGGGAGTATTAAATTGTAATGTCAAGGGAAACAGTATTTAAATGATCTTCATCCTCAGATGTCAAAAAAGCTTTGTCATGCTTGACATGTGACCCTGACCCCAAACAATATTGGCGATCTGAAAATTAGAGGGCTTTACAGCCTGAAAACAGGGTTGATGTAACTGAAAGAGTTAGGACTGTATTCGGCCTCTAAGTGTGTGGTAAATGGCGAGGAGAAATTGATCAGAGAGCACAACGAGAGTTTGAGAAAAGTAAACATGGAAGAAGTCATTCTGGCCGCTCTTTATATGCTGCTGTAAGGGTACATTGCCAGTGGACTGAAATAAAGTTTAATGGGCGATTCAAGCAATTGCATGTCCACCACCTCTACGGATCATTTGAGGACAAAATACCCCTTAGGGAGTTACTGGGAAAACATGGTTTCACCCGATCTTAGCTCACACATGAAGAAAACTGATCTAGAAATGCTACACTGGGAGACAGTGAGGATACTCAACTGGGGAGAGATCGTTTGCATGCAGCTAAACGTCTGAGTGCCATTTCCCTTGTACCACAGCCCTGAGCCAGGATTGAGTGTTCGACAACTATGGCTAATGACAACAGCCACAGTTCGAAAGAAAAAATTAAATATTAGCAGTCCAAGTCAAGCTGAGAGGGAAGGAATCTCGTCAAAAGGAAGAAGTACAGTGGTACCTCGGTTCTCGAACTTAATCCGTTCCGGACTCCGGATCGAATCCTAAAAAGTTCGAGTTCTGATCGAATTTTTTCCATAAGAAATAATGGAAAACCTATTAATTGGTTCCCGGCCCCCCAAAATTACACCTAAATGTTTTTTTTTTTTTTAGCAATTTAAACACAAAATGAACAGGATAAAACAAGAGCATTTTTTTCTTAATGGCTTCCAAAACGATAAAGATCTTGTCCCAACATTACCCCTGTCCTGCCCCGATCGACCGCTCCTTCCGTGTGCCACGCCTCCTCGTTAACCTCGTGTGGGATCCCCATGTGATCAGCTGTTTCTAATAGTACATGTAAGTTAGTGGTTTATTTATTGTTAGTTACTGTAATGTTGCGCTGCTTTATTTGGTTAATCGTCCAGTCTGTGAAGAAGGCATGCAAGTAAGAATTGCATTGTAGTATGACTCATTTCCTGGCGCGTACAATTTATATTAGGGTTCACAGTTCAACTTCTGATATTCAGATCGAGTTCTAGGTCAAAGCCTTGGTTCGACTTTCAAGAAATTCGAGTTCTAGTGAGTTCGAGAACCGAGGTACCACTGTACATGTTTTCTGCACTGAAAACACTCCTTCGTTGTTCAGTCATTTTAGAATGGTGCTTGCCACACTCAATGCGGCTTCCTGGTTAATATAAATCAGGAAGGGAACCATTCCAACCACATTTTCGAAGGTTTTAAGAAGTGTTTCTGTTTTGAAACATTTTGGAGGAAAATTTCTGCCGCAAAGGATGAAAGCGCTTCTTCCCGAGTATGGATGTGGAAATATGAGTCAAAATGGCGCAAAAAAGGATTCACTAAATACATAAAAAAGAGTAATGGTAACAGCCGGTCAATACTTTGCAAAAACTGAACAGGAACTCTGTCAGCACCTGGAGATTTAGAGCCCTAGAATGATGTCATAGATTACTCCCCCCCCCCCCCCCCCCAACCCTGGTGGGAAGAAAACGACAACCTCAGAGACCCCCATGCAATTCCAGAAGTGTGGTAGGACAATTGAGCAGATTTTGTCCCTGAGGACTTGTTAAAATCCAACAAAGCATACAAAGAGTCAAGCAGAAAAAAGAACCTTTGCTGACTGGTGGTCAAATGGTCCTGGGGGAGGTGTTTCGTTTTAGTGATTAGTAGGAAATTTCGGCTTGTCAAACCTGATGGGATCCAATTGCACCAGCCTTGTTACCACACTTAATTAAGAACAAATTTACCTGTTCCAAATATTCGGTGGCATATGAGGTGACTCTGCTCAGTCTCTTCTGAGCAACAGTGTAACAAATCACTTTTTACTTTTCAA